TTATTACCCCACACTTGTTTAGGTACATTATTCTCCACGTGTCAGGATCCCTATTGTAAGGATTTATAGAGATTTAAATTGGTATGACCAATTTTCAGCTGCACTAACATCAGTTAATTATATTTTGTTCGATAAAATTTAAGATTAGTTTTATCATTATTCAGTATTAAATTTTAATTAAATTATTCTTATCAGCTTAATGTACCTACTTATATTATTCCTTTTATGTCATAAATAAGCGTAAAGTAATTTCTATAATACGTTGTGTATATAAGTTTGTCAGACAACAATGTCTGTTAATTTTTTGACTTGTTTAAAATTGTTTTTTTTTGTGTTTATGACTGAAAAATTCGTTTTTTGACTAACTTAAAAAAATTTTAAACAAATATACAAATATACTATCTGCTGGTGCCATCTATTGTTGAATAATAAAATACACACCTACAGAATCCTATAGACCTACTACTTTATCGATTAAACTGCAAAAATATCCAATTTCATTTAAGTATTTGCTTATCTTTTTCTGATTATGCTGTTTTAAAAAATAATTTAATTGATTTTATAATACAATAAAGCGAAATATGTGTATCTATAATTAACAAAAAAATTAAACCAGGATCTCTTAAAAGAAATCTGTTTAAAGCTTTTGCAACTGTTTGTTAGATGGCGCAAACGTAAGAAGGAGAAATATAACTTCAGAAATCATTCTTATATTCTTCAAATTTAGATATTATTTAGATTAATTTTGATATATAATTTATTTGTGATTAAAAAATAATTATAAAATGGCAAACACAAATACAAACTGGTTTTTCAAATATTACTTTATAGTAATGATAATAAACCACATATTTATGTAACCACATATTTACAAATATCGAATAAATGTTATGTTCCTTGATCCTTGATATTGGTTTCTGTATTTTTACATTTTTATTTATATAAATATGAGAAATTTTAAGGACCAAAATAACTATTAATATTGAATTATTTTGAATTCGAATCAGAGCGTTTTACGATTTCGAATAATCGATACTTACTAATCGAGAAAAAAAAATACCGAGAAAGATTAATTCGACAACAATGAATGACGAAATTCTAACCTCAATAAAACTTGGACGATAAAAATAGAATATGAAAAATAAAGTAAGGTATTATTCAGAGTAGGTATCTGATATATGCGCCATCCATGTAACGTACACATATTAATCCTGTCAACATTTTTGCAACCTAGGTTCGTTAACGAGTGTCTTGAACCAAGGTTATCTGTGCAGTTTTTTATTGTTTTGTTTTTGTTTCTACCTTTTACCCGGTCCGTGCTGCCCATGTTACAAAGAAAATGAATCCTGCTGAAAAATTAATTTATGGTAAGGATAAAAAATATTTGGTAATATTCCACACTTAAGTCACCTTTACTTCAACTTTCCAACATCATGTCTGCACAGTTATATACCAAAACATTTTTGACAAACTTTATATTATGTTTTGTACTCATGAGTACATACTAATAAAACATGCTAATTTCCTTTAAAACTAAATAATAGACAGCAATTAGTTTGTATATTTTTCAGACATATGAAATTATCAACCTGTTGCTTTTATCAGCACTAATCAATTATTTATATTTATTATTATGATATAATAGGATAAAATAATGGTTTTGTAATAATTAATTTTAATTCTCCAAATATAAGATCAAGGTTAATAGAAAATTCAAGGTCTGGTATACTTAAAATAGATAATTAAAATAATGAATTACTTTTTAAATGTTTAGCAGAGATATTTATACTGCAAATTCCATTTAAATCTGGTAGCTATATTATTTAAAAAAGGATTTTGAAGCTATTTGTTTTTCATTAATGGTCCAAAAAATGTCACATTTAAATAAAATATCTGCAACATTTGTATAAACATATTATATATTCATATTCTTCATATTATTTTTTTAATAAGTATATGTGGCATTTTACCTAAGGTTTAAAGCTTGGGGGGTTAGGAGGACAAAAACATGAGTATCTGAAATGTTCACTTGAAGATACTAGATACAAGATATATGAGTGGGTGGATGAAATCAGCTGTGAAGTAAGGTACTGAATACTAGGCAGCTAAAAAGAAAGAAGAATAACAAATCCATGTTACACAAATGGGAATATTTAGAAAATTAAAAAAATATATAAAGTAGAGGCACGAGTATCTGACACTCTAAGGCCAGGGATACATTTTCTGATATTAAAATGTTAATTTTACTCAGATTTTTTTGTTCTCTTGAGCAAAATGCATGAATAAGTTTATTATTAATTGTACATGTGAAAGGAGATTTGATTTAAATAAAACTTCCAAAAAAATTTTATTTTTAAATACATGTTTTGTTCCCAATACCTGGCATTGCAAATTTGCAGAATCCAAAAAAATACCCAATACCTGACATCATAAAAGGTATTTAAATAAAAAAAATTACTTATTTATTCAAATATCTAATTAAAACAAAAACTTTATTATGTCTGGAACTCTATACATTCCACTATTATTCAAACTTGCTGGTTCTCTACAATATCAGTATGATAATACCATATTGCATCCTCTTTATTTGGACATCTCCACGAATTAAAGTTGCCCTTTACCATCACACTAACAAATACCTTATTTTCTTCTACTTCTTTTATTTTTCACTGTTGGTGTTGATCTTCATAAATAACAATAACACGGTCTCCTTCTTTTAAATGAGATTTGTCGAATGTTGGAACAATAGCTGGAATATCATCACTATCAGATTCCAAATTTAATTGCTAATCAGATAGAGATGTTTCAGAATCTCAATTTTCCTTGAAATTTCGTTTTGTTTTTTTTTTTCTTTCAGAATCTTCTTCTCATCAGAATCTGAATTTTTCTTGTAATTCCGCTTTGTTTTTTTTTTCTTGAATATCTTTTCGTTTCGTTTTCGCTCTTGCTTTTCCTGTTCTTTGAATTCTTCTTCCAATTTTTCTTTAAATGGTATTGTTTCCACTGAGTGCAACAGAAGCCTTTTCACTGACTCTTTTTTTCTTTTCTTTAGAACATGGTTTGTCCGGCCAAAACAATACCTTCTTAAATGAAGTAGGAATTTTTTCATCAATTGATATATATTTTTCGGGCCATTTTTGCAACGAGATTATGTTGTAAGTTTTCTTAAGTAGTTGTATCGTCACAGAATAAATAACAATCAGAATGCCCACTCTCAGATGCTGCCTTTGAAGGTTGTCAGCACGCGAACGCCATGTTTTAGACAGAAACATAGACTCGAATTGAGAAATTTTTGACAAGCTACAACAGAACTGTAATTTAAATTTTTAGAGATAATGATTTAGTACATTTGAAATAATTTAATCTATTCTTCAACTAAAAGTGTGAATAAAATAGTGCATATTATATCTGTAGTTGCAGTAAATAAATTAAACCTGGTTAATTTGTCTATGCACACCAGATAAAATGTCACTGAACAGCACTGCTTCCAACTAAAACATGGCTGATTTCGTCTGCGCGAACGAGATGCGCGTACTTATTTTTTTATGCAGAGTGGGTATTCTGATTGTTTATTATTCTGTGGTATCGTTAACATTAAAATCGAGTTCAACAACTGCAACATCGCAACCTGGTGGATTATTATTTGAGGGTCATTTAATTTGCGAACGATAAATGTGTTGAGTTGTTTTTCATTTTTGATCTTCAGCCAAACTTGAAAAAAACGTAAATGTTGTACTTATATTTCCGTTTCACGTATCCGAGTCTGCTGCAATAAATTCTTGTAACAAGCCAGGGTCCTCGCCGCTGGATTCACTCCCCGCCTCTCGACGCGTTAGTGTTCTGAGCTGTTGGACGTGAATCCCTGTCCTGGCATTTGGTTTTCACCTCTGGCTGCGTTAGGTAGTTGAGTTACTGTGACCAAATGCCCATCTTGGTAGTTAGTATTCGCCTCTGGTTGCGTTGAGTAACTGAGTTACCGTTGCTAACTACCCATCTTCCTGTCTTTTGTTTTCTTTTTCTTTTTCTTTGTTCTCCTGAAGAACAATTGTAGCAAAACGTCGAGATGAACTCACTTTTGGGTCACTCACAAATGACATGGTCCAAACCCGGAAGACGAATAAACTATAATTATAACAAGCTAGTTGCGAAGATACAACTAAACTAAAAATTTATAAGTCCAGTTCTTTAGACAAGGCACATGCCGGTATTTTTACAACCGGATTACCCGTCGTAAATCAATCAGTTTAAAACTTGAAAAATTGATACTGAGGGATTAGTACAGTTAAAATTGTTAGATGGTTATATTTAGACGAAATATTAAGCAATATAATTGAAACTTTTTTCTACTTTTAAGGACAAAAAAGCAAGTTCATTAGCGGAACGTAATTCAAAATTATACTGCACATTATATTTGAAGCATTATTTGGTTAATACATCTCATTTTTGGTGGTTAAAAATATAATAAATGCATATATAATAACTGGTCTGGAATAAAGGTGTTAAAATATGGTTTGGAAGTTATATTTTTGTTTAAATTTGCCGACGGACGATAGAAAGTCGGTACTAACTATAACTGGGATTAATATTATTAGAAAAATTAATATCAAACTCATTCAGTTTCCGAGTTGAATTGCGTGGAATTTTACTATGCCTAGCTTTCGACTGGATCTCTGGTGCTTCATCGATATTCTTGGGATTTCAGTCTCCTGAACTCCAGATAAATCAGAGTATAAGTACAAATTCTTTTTTTTTTTTGTTTGTAATAACTAAGATTCAGCGATTTAGGTATTTTTAATACCTTTTGTATTCAAATTATTCAACAAAGAAATATTTTTTCACTTTTTTTTTAAATTGCAATAAAGAATTTAATTCTACATTTTAATCTGTACCTCCACATTTATTTTTACAAATAAAACAACTTATTTTAAGTAATATACGACTGCCATTATTGTCACCGCCGAAGTTTCTCTAAACATTATTCTTAAAAGGTTATTTTGTAGAGTTATATTGATGGAAAGACTTCATCAAACAGAAACGCATTCTGTTTCCTCAAATTTGAATTATTCAGGCGATGAAGACGAAGAAAAGGACCTTTTTATTAACAGTCTGTGGAATATTCACAAGACGTTGGTTGCACTGCGTGGTAAGAGATGGATAGAGAAATAAGTTGCTACTATTAATCTTTAAGCTGCTCGGCTCCGAGTTAAAATAGGTGATTTATGAGAATTCGATTTTCTTGTTTCCCTTATTTCGTTGTTTTATTTCGGAAATAAATTTAAAAGCCCAACGTTTGATTTAAGAAGGTAACAATGATTAAAACTCAGCGTGATTTTCCATAATTTCAAACGACGTCAACAATAGTTATTTCGTAACATACATTTAATGACAGTAAGTCTACAAAGTCTATGAAATTTTTCAATTTTCTTATTTGCACCAGTTGCAAGTTAAAATTTGCGTATGGAAATTTTTAATTACTCGCTGAAAGGAGAGAATTTAGTATCCGTGAGTATTCACAACATTCAACATCTACGAAACTGCTTAGGAAAAGTTTTTGTAGGAGAAAGACTAGGAAAAAGATGTCATGAAATTAATCTGGAGTTGTTAGGTAATTGAAAATGTTATATTTTATTATCTAGTTCTATTGTCTTCTAAATAGTCTGTTGTAAAATAATCTCTGGGTAAATGAAAACATTGACCAAGGTAGAGAAATAAGGACACGCATTGAAATTGCAAGACAAGCATTTATAAAAATGAAATCAATGTTTGTCAATCGAGACCTTCCTCTGGATCTGAGGATAAGAGCCTTAAAATGCTACGTGTTATCGACTTTGTTGTGTGGAATGGAAAGCTGGACACTAAAAGTGGATAATATAAAGAAGTTGAAATCATTTGTGCTATAGAAGAATTTTGAAAATACCATGGACCCAACGAGTTACAAATGCAGAAGTCTTAAGAAGGCTACAAAAGGATTGCGAGGTCATAAAGTACATCAAAACAAGAAAGCTGGAATATTGAGACCACATTACCAGAGGTGCGAAATGTGAGATATTAAGGCTCATAATGCAAGGTAAAATCAAGGGTAAACGATCCATAAGAAGGCGAAGAATTTCCTGGTTGGGAAACCTAAGAGAGTGGTATAGTTGCAGCTCAGTAGATGTTTTTAGAGCAGTCGCCAATAAGGTACGGATAGATGTGATGGTAGCCAAACTCCGATAGGAGAAGGAACTATAAGAAGAAGAAAAAATCTCTAACAGTTTTTTTGAAAGTTTGAAAAGAAAATTTTCTAATGCTAGCTTAACTTTTATTTTAGTAAAAAACCTCTTAAACCAAAATAGTACAAATCCAATCATTACATCTGAAATTTTACATCTTCTTGAAATTTGCATCAATCAGACTCATCAACTTTCAATTTAATAATCAAATACAGTGCTTTTCAGATAAAACTATCCACCTTAAATAACTTTTGAGCTTCTAAATTTTAGGAAAAACGCAAAAACACGTCAATTAATATTTGAAGGGGGAGATATTATACCATATTTAAGGTTGCTGGGAAATGCACCCTTTCACCCCTCGTATCATCCCTTTATTTTTTTTAAATTACTTTCTCCTTTTTTTATTCGATATTTGGATTCTCCTCTTTGTCCTGATTTCAGAAATGTATACTATATGATGCTTGAAGTGATTAGTGTATGAGAAAAATAAATATAAAAGCAAGAAAATTGGATAGAAAAAAAATTGTTTTTTATCAATGTATTACACACATTTAGAATGAACATTTCACTACTAAATTTTTTTACAATTGATCAAAATGACTGACCTTCACTTCCATACAATAGTATAATCTATTTTGAAATTTTTCTATGTCATTGCTTAACACGTCTGCATTTAATTGTCGACATTTATCCTCTATTCTTTGTCGTATATCATCTAGAGATTCTGGTTGAATAGCATAAATTTTTGTTTTTAAATACCCTTTAAAGAAGAAGTCTAGGGGTGTTCAATCCGGGGACCTAGGTGGTTAATCGATATCCAAGGACCATCATTACCCTATCCAAGGACCAAGAAACGTTTCGTTTAAAAAATATCGCACAGGTAAAGCAAAGTGTGGAGAAGCTCCATCATGTTGAAATACAACCAAATCTTCGGAAAGGTTATCCTTAACTTTTGTCCTTAAAATTGTCTATCTCATAAACTAATCACTTCAAGCCAAAGGTATTATACATTTTTGAAATCAACACAAAAAGGAGAAGCTAAATATAAAATAAAAAAAGGTGGAAGTAATTTAAAAAAAAAATAAAGGGTTGATACAGGGGGTGAAAGGGTGCATTTCCCAGCAACCTTAAATATGATATAACGTCTTCTACTTCAAATATTAATTGACGTATTTTTGCGTTTTTCCAAAAAAATAGAGGTTCAAAAGTTATTTAAGGTGGATAGTTTTATTTGAAAAGCACTGTATATACAAATAATAGTGCAGGACTTATAATGGACAATCCTCTAAGCCCATTGCTCTCAGATGGTTTTATGGATCTTCTAGAGACAAAGATTTTAAAACATCCCATATTCAAAAAGTTTTTTAATAGGTGGAGATACGTAGACCACGTACTGGTATGTTTCACAGGAACTAACAGACAACTCGACCAATTTTTATTGTATATTAATTCACTCCATAGTCATATTGAATTTACAATAGAAACAGAACAAAATAATCCATAAATTTTTTAGATTAATAATTATCAGACTTAAAAACAAACAGGACTTCTCCATATTTCATAAACCTACCCATAGTGATACGACTATACACAATTCATCATCCCATTCCACACAACATCAACTGGCAGACTATCATAGTATGTTACATAGATTAACAGAAATTCCGATGTCATAATACAACTTTGAGATAGAATGAAATATCATTAAGCAATTAGCAATAAACAGTGGATATAAAAAAGGAAGGAATAACACCAGCTTTAAGAATAGATAACAACTTGGACAAATATATTAAAAACAACAAGACCCAAAATAAAAAGCACTTACACAGTGGCGTATACAAACGTAAATGTGGCGAATGCTCAACAACTTACATCGGTCAAACTGGTAGAAATTTTAATAAACGAATAGCAGAACATAAAAGGGCTTTCAATAATAGAAAAACAGATTCTACATACGCACTATACCCTCTACATCATAATCATTCTTTTAATGGCGAATTTAAAATTATTTTTCTACTCTCTTACTAGTAAATTGTATATTAGGTACCTACTATTTGGATGCTAAGTAAATACATCAAAACATATACTGACACGTAATGACTAGCACGTAATAAAAAAATACGCTTTAGTTCTATAAAAATGTGTAATATCACATAAGCCTTATAAGTCATTTGGTCGAGTTACCATAGAAACGAATTACAGATTACGAGACGTTATTTTGACAGATTAAAAATTATTAATCTGTCAGTGCAAATATAGTGGTAATTTAAATATAGATAAATAAAATGAGTTCATCGAATAGTGAAGATGAATTTAGTAACACACCACCCAACATTATGCAGTTAGCTGCGAACACTACCGAGAACCTTTTACCAGAAAAATCTAGAGGAAGATATGAAAAGGTATATCAGCAATTTATGGATTGGCGAACAACAAATAATGTAAATTCATTTTCTAAAAACGTACTTTTGGCTTATTTTGGAGAAATCGCTAAGAAATTTAAACCATCCTCATCATGGGCAATATATCATATGCTAAGAAGTTTTAAAACTTTAAAAAATAATGTCAATATTGAAAATTACCCGAAATTGTGAGCTTATCTAAAAAGGCAATCAGAAGGTTTTAAAAACAAAAAATCTAAAATTTTACATCCTGATGAAATAAAACTTTTTTAAATGGAGCTCCTGATGTACAGTACTCGTTAATAAAGGTATGTTATTTAAAAGTAAAAGTTACCAACACATGGTTCCAACTCCACCCCCGTCGCCTTTATACTTGGAAATCTCCAGCCGATAGAGCTCATAACATAATATGAAATCAGATATACTTCATTCTTATAAACGGTAGATTCAGCACAACTGTCAAAAGAGATTGCACATACCCTAGAGCAGATGTCCCTTCTTTTATTAGTGACCGTCATAAAGATCGCTCTTTCATGCAAGAACAAGCCTGAAACTCAACAACAACAGATAGCACTGGATAAACTGAAAGACCTAATGATACAAGCAGAAATAAGCAATGAAATAAACGCACAAATTCAAATATTGACGACAAACATTACCGAAGATCTAACACCAACATGGAATACGATTATAAGTGCTGTAACAGACATCATGAAAAACAACTTAGGGTACAAACGAAATAACAAGAGGCAAAAATGGATGACAGAAGAAATACTATTACTAATGGAAGAACGACGAAGACACATGAATGACCAAGATGGCAGCAATATGAATGAAAACATTAAGAGGCAAATAAAAGCAAAAATATGAATAGCAAAAAATTAATGGCTTAAGCAACAATGTATCGATCTAGAAGATTTACAACGACAGCACGACGACCGTAATTTACATAAAAAGCTTAAGGAGACTGCTGGAATATACAGAAAACGAAGACCATCTACCATAGTTATTCAAGATAACCAGATAGTGCTGGGTGAAATGGAGAAAATTGATATATGGGAAAATTATATCCAGGAGCTCTTCCATGACGAAAGACCCATGAGTGAAGTTTATACAGACTGACTGGCCCCCCAATCACCAAAGAGGAGATAGAAAAGGCAATAATAAATTTAAAATACAATAAGACACCTGGACCAGATGAGATCCCGTCAGAAAAACTCAAATTACTAGATGAAAGGGGAATTTCAGCACTACACAAAATATTTAATTTAATTTATGAAACTGGCTGCTATCGTCAACAGTGGTTACGCTCTACCTTTATTCCCCTGCCCAAGAAAGTCAATGCAAAAAGATGTGAGGATCACAGACTCATTAGCCTGATGAGTCACACTTTAAAGATATTCTTAAAAATACTACATCAAAGATTATACAAAAAATGTGAATGGGACATCAGTGATTCCCAGTTCGGGTTTAGGCAAGGTTTAGGAACACGAGAAGCAATAGTAGCAACACAGGTGCTGGTCCAAAAT